ATTACTGAAGGAAAACAATCAAGACAGTGCTGTGTCCAACAGGTTAGTCAGAATATGGGTGACCATGAAGTCTATCTTACGTGTAAATAGCGCTTCCTCTTAGCAGTGTAGTTATTCTATGATATGAGACTGGTGATCTGAAGCATCACACAAGCTAGGGAGAGGAACTTTGCACTACTTCACTAGGGAGTGTAACAGCAGACTAAGCAGGGACTGCTAATCCGACTGGCCTGCGGATACAGTGCTGGAGGGCCCTGCAGACAGGTTGATGCTGTGCTGGCCAGGGGGGTCACAGGCAGGGCACTGCAGCCACTTTCGGTGTGCTGGGGTAAGCCTTCATGCTCACATGAAGAAGGGCCATCAACCATTCAATTACTAGGGATTTATGTACAATTTCATAATTTTGGCTTACTTGCACGTGTTTAGAAAGACTAACAAAGCTCCTTTTTCCAATCCTATGAAGAAAACTAACATTTGCATTTTCATTGTTCTTTGCAGAGATTTTCATCCCTTTATTACCTTTGGTTTTTTCGTCTTTCAGATGTTTCTTCTCAATTGGTTTTTCTAGCAAGGAAAAAGTAGCACAGTTCAAGATTGATAAATTGACTGCTGAATAGATTATTACCTAGAGTTTTCAAGTAAAATTCCTTGAAAATTAACATAGATCTTTTAAAGGCTGTTTCAAATAGCAGTACATGCATAATTTTTATATCATACTATTTTTATTGTAATCTTCTACATGTATATGCACACACAGAGTAAATTCCTACCTTCTTTTTCCTTAGCTGTCTTTGTTTTTTTCGTGGCTGGAAAGAATTGCAAGGAAACAACGTTAAGTGACAGGCATCAGAAATATGGGGCTCTTACAATAAGGACATTGCACAAAGCTGATCTTCCTAGTAATTTCCCTGGAATAATAAATGGTGGTAAATGTGTCTCATGGCATGTATTCAACACATCTAATATTACAACAGTGGCTGCTACCCTTAGTGGCAGTAGCAGTTCTGGGCTTTCTGAACAACTATTGGAAATTGTTTGAATATTACTGGTTGCAGAGTAGTTTGGAAATTCCTGATAAAGGCTTTAGGCACTAGAATTCTGTAATTCCCTAACTACTGCCAGAACGGTCTAATTATTGGTGGCCAAAATGCACCAGGGAAGGATCCCTCTGTCTATTGCCTGTTTCTTACTCTCTTTCCCGGAGCAATCTCAATCATCTGAAACAAATAAACAAAATAAAGCCCTAGGATATGGACATAGATGGACTTTTAGAACCACCAAATGGGACCATTCTGAAGTCCTGCATCAGTAGATTCTGATTTATTTTATTTAGCTTATTTTTCTCTAATTGTACATTCACTTAGAACGTGTGCTTTTTTCTTTTCAGCATCCTTTTCCCCAGCTTGCAAACACAGATATTTGGTCTGTGACTTCATTCAACACGGCAGATTGAAATTAAGTAAGGTGTATTGCTTCAGGCGCCTGGGCCCATTTCAGTATTCTCTCTTGACTACAGCAGAAAACTGGCAGGCTGCCTTCAAATTGTTAATTTGTACTTGATATTGTCCAACCAGTTGTAATAACACGTTGTTCAATGACCTCTGGTGTGTGTGTTATCTGATTAGCACTAGCTTGCTCAGTGCTGATCACCTGTGTCTAACTCATCAAAACATGCTGCAGAAGATGAACAGGGAAAATAACAGAACCGACTGATCAGAACAGCTTTTGGTAGAGAACTGCGTAGCTGCAATGCTGTCAGTTAATCAATGCTGGTTTACATTAGCATTGTTCATTGTTGATGAACAATATGTATTAATCAACACTGGTATTAATTCTTTCCATGAGACATACCAGAGAAATCTAATATTTACCTGCTGTTGGGATTTCACCTGTTGGCACTCCAGAAAAATAATCAGAAATGAAGAAGTGGGGAAGGAAAAGAACATGAGATTCAGTACCTTGTTTTTTCAAGGCAAGTAACCATTTAAATAGATCTTCTTTTTCATCTGCAACTTTTCTGCAGGGTATTAATTTGCCAACAAATGTACCTTAACAATGGGCCTGTACAGAGAATTTCACAGTGAAAGCTAAGAGTCTCACTCTTTGAAGTGCTATAATCCAGCATGCAATGGTTCCTGCAAATGCAAACAGTGTGCCAATCAAAGCTTTCCAGCAAGCAAATATTTAAATAAAGTTATTTTTAAATGTGCATTCAAGGTTATAGCTGACTATGCTATTTTCCAAAAAAGTGTATCCAGTTTAACTGTTACCTCTCTTTTCTTACCATCCACACATCCCAGCCAAAGACTGACATTGACCTTGAACAGCTGGCATTCCTCCTCTGTATAACTGTTTCTCCTGCATTATCGGTTTGCCTTGTCTTTTAAGAGTAAAAGCCCTTGAGAGCTGGAAAAATTTTGACTGCATCTTTGCACATCACCTAGCACAAAAGCAGCATATATTCCCGTGCTACTATAAAACCCATAAAAATTAATGAAAATTGATCAATTCAATGGGATAGAAATTCCCTGGTGTAAACCATGATTACACTTTTTAAGTCAAAGGAATGAATTAAATTGTGACCTGGAATCCAAGAATTTTTTACCCATCGCTACTTCATTAGTCCCAGTTTTATTTTAGAACACAATTTTAAGGAAGGATAATAACCTCACTAACCATGCAAAACCTTTTTTCCTTGAACCTAGAGCTGGATAAAAAGGGAATATGCTCATAAAACATTTCAGGGTCTACTTTGATTGAATTATCTCTGTATTTTCTTCATGCTGAGTTTTGGCTTCAGATGAACACGAGGTTCTACAGCTCACACCAAGGTGAAAATGTTTCAATCAATGCTTTTTCCACAGGAGGACTGAGCAGTTAAGCATGATTTTCACTAACACATGCCATGAAACATTCATTCAGGTCTTCGTTCATAAGGAGACTCATTGATGTCAGTGCTCAACACTTAGGCATCACAGGCATTCAGCATGCTGGTGTTAAGTGCTAACACGCTGAAGTCCTTTAATAGTTACATTTCTGCTTATGATCATGCTCATAGTTGCTGAAAGCTGATACATTATTGCAACGTTACCCATGGATTAATACCTCTTCTCATTTTCAGAAGAAAAAAAAAGATTTGTCTGAGACACTAAATCTGGGAAAGGGATTTATGCTCTCACTCCCTGAGGCGGTGTCTGACTGAGGGATTGGGACCATCCCAGTTATATGCATATATCCTAATTTAGGGTTAATGATTGATTCTGAGTTTCATTACACGTTCAGATTTGATATAGGATCAATTGCTGTCAAAGACCCTCCTGCATGCTAAAACAGAAAAAGTGAAAAATAAGATAGTTTACTAATTGCTTTTATAATTGAGTGAGTGGCTGTGTGGCATTTAGCTGCCTGCTGGGTTACACCACTACAGCAGGTTACTATAAAAATTTATTTGTTTTTAATCTGGGGACTTTTCAAACTCAGTCTTGTATTTCTGTACATAACCTGTCATTCACTTAATGATACAATCTCTCTACTGATTTAAACCCCATTTACTTTTACGGTAAGACTGCACAGGGTACAGTGTGTGAATAAATTCGGCCCAGGATAAATGCATGGATTTATTTTACATTCCTACTAGACTTTAACTTCAAAATCAGTGAGCATTTTGTGTCCATGGCTACATCTCATACTGAATTACATGATAACTATGTTCATGTTATGGCAAGTATACTGCACACCTGGCTGAGAAATACACAAAGCAAAGCTATATAGAGCTCTAGAAATAGAGGCGGCAGTGATCCAACTAAGTGTTCTTCTTTAAGTGGAAAAAAGCAATTTAAAATAGGTAGCTCTGGTGCTTAAAATCTTGAACTAGATCTATTCAAGGATGGTTAGCTCAAAATAGGCAGTGTAAACAGAATTACTTTTGTATATGATCATAGGTCTGCTTGTTACAGTTTTTTATTTTATCTTTTTTTTCTTTTGTATTTTTTTTCATTTTCTTTTTCTAAAGGCACTGTTAACCTTTATAATCATTTCAAACAGCAGGATATAAGCTCAAGAATGTGGTACAAACATCCCTCGGCAAAGGTCAAGGGAAAATATCTTGGCTATTCCTTATATGCACATTATGCCAGGGTAATATAGCTCTTGATAAAAAAGCATTGTAGACAGCGATTTTGGGTTAAAATGTTCCTTATTGCAAAAAGCATGAGGAATTAGTCACTGAAAACTCCGATGATTCTCTAATAGTGGAAAGTGCCATCAGTGGGTGTCTCAGATAAATCAGTGCAGAAGATGTCAAATGTCAGTGAACACATCCAGTGAATACAAGACTGAACAAATCTGAATAATGGAATCAAATAGAGGAAAATTTGCTTAAAATACTGGCCAAAATGGAAATAAACCCACTAATAGCTGCAGAGGAAGCAATAACCTTGCAATGATAGCTTGAAAACTGAACACTGCAGTTTAGGATTGCAGATCCTTCAGTGCTGGCACATTTCAGATGCTTCGTGTTCCCCCTTTGCCTTTGGAGCTTGCGTTCTGAATAGTGTTGTGTCTTCTGACAGGTGTTTAAGAGCGTGTTTTCATCTTGTCTAACTTCAAGCACTGAATTTAAGAAGCTTAATGAAATCAATTTGCCTTGTCTTGTCGTCAGGAAGAGGTCTGTGTCTCATGGGGCTTGGCCTTGGTTTTGAATACTCTTTGTAGATTACTTTTCATCAGAATAACACATGGTTTGGTCTTCATGTGCCAGGCATAGTACCAAAAAGAAAACAGAGATCTTATGCTAAAGAGGCTACAACTAATTCATCTGTGAAGGGCCATACTTCAACATTTTCCCAATTCAAAGCATGCAGTGTAAACACTGTCCTGCTGATTGCTGTCTGATCATGATTTGCAGCATATAACGTGTAGTGACTTGCCACAATAAGCATAGATCCCAGTCTTTATCTATTCAGAAATCTTACTGACCTTAACAAGGACATTATCCAATGACTTTACTGGAAGCCTTTGTTATGCAAGAAATTCTCCTTGAATCCTCCTTAAAACTAATCTAAAATGGAAATATTCCTTTCTCTAATTTAATTAAGTTTTTTATTAAAGTAGGAAAAAAAAGGTGTATTGAAAAAAGGCCAAGAATGTGTTTAGTGAATTAATGAAATAAGTCATTTCCAAATGGTAAAAGAAGTAATGAAAGGTTGTCTAATTCAGTTATGTGACATTCCATTTTGTTGCTTTTAATAAACAATATATTTGCATAGGATAAATAATCTGTCTACACGCACCTAAAATCACCAGACATCAACTATGCTACTAGCATAGTTTAGTTTGGTTTTATAAAAAGTAAAAATTGTGAACAGAGTTTGAATGTTGCAGTTTCACTATATTAAATTATAAATGTACTTCGTTTTGGTGTGTTCAGCTGTTACTAAGCAGATGGAGTACAAGAGTATCTGTAGTATAAGCAAGAAAATAGCATTGTCTGACATGACAAAATTGCAAAAATGCAAATTAAGACAACACGCATCTGAAAAGAAGGTTTATATTCCGTAGGAAAC